AAACTTAAAAAATAATAGATGCTTTATAATTATAAGGATTTATTGTAAGTATAGATATATTGTACATGGAGATACCATATTCGTTATGAAATTATGAAAATGATATATTAGATATATATAAATCACATATCCCTCGCTATTAGTTTTTATCTGCACTTGATGATCTGATAATAAGCGATGATACGCATCTTTACGCTCGAGGGATATCAATAATACATAATTTGTTTCAATTTTTCAATTTGCTTACTGTCAATATTGTAACTACTACTGAAACTTGTAAAACATGATTTCGTCTTTTTCAGCCCGGCCATCGTGTCCCGAGGTTTTCTACCATGAACTGGGCTGTTTGTGCGCCGGCRAGCTGTTCCGCAGCCGACATAGAACATGAGATGTACTTATTGCTATCGAAGTACGTCGATACAACCGAAATCAATTTGCGTCTTAAAGTCGATCCGGAAATGTGTCAGACGTATAGGCCATCAATCGTGCCGACGACGGGTTCATTGATCGCAGTGTAAGTAAATAAGACGAAAGTCGTGTAAATAATGAACTTTGAGTACCTATATAGTATGCATATTCATATATTTGATAAAAGTATAGATTGTAGGTTCTTAGATGATAAYATGGCCATTTAGTTTTGTTCACTAATAGTCGTCAGTATAAGTCCACGTAAACAAAAGTACAAAACTAGTAACAAATCATAAAAATGAATTATAATTATTTGATTTACTATAGTACTGTGATTTATTATTATTATGTATTTTGAGTTTTGACGATTGGGTGCTAAGTATTTAACTATTATAGAATACAAAATACAAAATTTGTTTAAGAGAATTTAACTCACTAAAATTTTACGTATTTTTATGTCATATAAAGTACATTTCCTAAAAATGTTGTATACAATCTAAAACATAAATATTTTAAGAATTTCGAAATTTTAAAACATAACTTTTTGTCAAAAACATGTCAAAAACATTTGCTCAATTCGGTAGGCCACGTTTGTGTTATGAGTATAAGTCGACGTTATAACAATGCGAGCCTATATATGGTAWACGAAAAACTGGTACGATCCACAATAGTCAAGGTTTCCCAAACTTAGATTTTAGAATAAGTTATGGTATGAAATATGAATGTATGATTAACGTCTTAGCATTTTTACCCCTTAGTGAAGTAATAGATGAAATGGTTTATTTATATACAACGACACCAGTACAATTGTGAATTGTTACCATAACTAAATTATTTTGACGAAACCCATGTTAGTGGGAAGTCTGGGAGCCCATTATCTTCTCCCAACTTTTGGAATGTGCATGAAATTACTTTAAATAATGGCAACAGAACAAATAATCCGTAATTTTGGTTAGTAGTTAAATGTATTCAACAAGATGAAGCGACAAAGCGGATTGAAAGAACACACAATACTAATAATAGCTTAATGCCTAAAAGTTCAAAAAAACAAAATAGTTTGCAAGACAAACTACATAATGAATGTGAGAGCTATTTGAATAAAGAGATTAATATATAGGACAATTTTTAAATAATATAGCTAAGTGTACGAAATAGTTGTTTATATATTTATCAACTATTAATTTATTACTGATCATATTATATTATATATTGTATTTATTGTATATTTATTTTAATTATCAACTATTTTGTATGAACTTATTTGTGTGCTTTGTTCATTTTTATTTCTAACATTACTTTTTTGTTTTAAACGTATTATTTTAATTTAACTTGTTTACGATGGTAATTTATCAAAACTATGAACAAACATTGTACATTTGTAAATATTTTAGGACCCCTGAAAATTAAATTTTGAAGAGTACTAGAATTCCGCGTTTTTGATTTCTTTTGTTATAAATTCTATGGAGCGTACCAATGTTCCGAGCATCCCTATATATATATATATATATATATATAATATAATATCTGATAAATTACAGATCGGTCTTTGGAATTCTGTTCTTGGTCATAATCTTGTCTACCGTTATGGACAAGTACAACATGTTCCAGAGTGTGGAAAGTGAGTGCACCACGGACACCTCGGTGAACGTAACACGCGATTTTTATCGATTATATTGATATGAAATGGATTTATACGCAATTTTTCCAGRCACCGTTTCGAAGGTTCTGTACTCGTTTTCGTTGAAGAGGAACGTTCGGCAGCTGTTCAGCGTTAATGAGTCACCTGAAGACATCAGGTCAGTTCACGGGATTCGCGCGCTAAATGCTCTCATGCTGCTGGCGTCTCATAAGTCCATGGCAATGTTTTTCAACCCTTATTCGAACCGGACCGCCATGACAGAGGTAACATATATAAATTGCATGAAAAACGATTCAGTAAACTGATTACGTATGCTCGGAAATTATTTAGTGGTACGATATTATCCGTAACTTACTAACGACTTTTTTTTCGATTTTTTTTTTCGGGGAATACTACATATTTTGTTTAACATAAAAGTTTATAGGTTAAAAAGAATAGACGGATTCAAAACCAGGTATA